AGAGGAGGGAGTGCGGGGAGCCGTTTCCCCACGTGGGGGGAATGATGCTCGTGGGAGTCATACCCGCGGTCGAGGAGAATTGCTTCTCCCAGTCCCAAGGGTAAGGGAAAGATGGGATCCTTTTTCTCAGCCATACAAACTGCTTCCTCTGCTCGTGATGCCTAGAGAACAGCACGCGCAAGCTGCTGCAAAATGCACGGAGGAAAGAGGTGGTAGCTGGCTCGCAAGTAAAGAAAGCGGTAATACAACGTGGCGTGGGCAAGGTCGTCCCGGAGCGTAACGCGGCATTGGTGCTGGAGGCAGCAGAGCCGCGCTGCTCCGTCCCGGGGCAGGCTCCGCTGTCACCTCTCTGCTCCTGTGAAAGTCAGGGCACGGCCGCTGCAGCTGCCCCTGCGATGCTGAGCAGATGCAGGCTGCTCTCAGCGTCCGGAGGCACCTTCTCTCCCTCGCCAGCTTGCATCGGCTTCACGGCCAGGTGAGCCAGACAGGGCATTGATCATGTTGAGTCACGTTTAAGCCACAAAACACATCCCAGGTACAGCATCCAGCACAGGGTCCACGGACCTTTTTAAGGTTGCATTAAAGCCATGACTAACTAAACCGCAGTACATCGTGGCGTGGATGACTATTCCCCGAGATATGGGCTTGCCTACACAGATCAGCGTGGCTGCCTTGGCAAACAGATTTGCACCACTCGTCGGCAGCTTCGTGAGGAGTAACTGAGCTGCGTGATGTGAAAGGTTTTTCCGTACATGCTAAAGGCTGCTTCAAATCGCCCTGGCCTCTCCTGGGCTCTGCTGATGCCCTGCTGTGGCCAAATCTGTGGCACATTAAAGAACTGGCACCCTGAAAAATAGCTGGGAAATCTGGAGGGGACCTCCTAGGGTTTGTCTCTGTGCCGTGGCAGCCCCAGTTTGCTGCACTGGATGGGACAGGCAGTCTTTTGGCAATGTAAGCATGAAGATGGGCCAGTTCAGGGCTTTGTTGCGCTGCCAGTTAGACTTTAAAACCGCAATTAAATAAAGTATGTTCTCCTGTTTGTCAGTTGTGACTATTTATCCTGGAATGGGATTTAACCATTTGTGCCAATCACTCGCTCCCATCGTGGCTAGGTTGTTCACAGCTCGACTTTTACCTCAGAAAGTATTTTTTTTAAGAATTCCTGTTTTGCAAATTTAATCATTTGCTAATTAAATGCTGCTGAATTCCCCATAGTCCAGCAGTTCATTGAGCCAGTGAGGAAACTGGCAATGCTCTCTACACATGCTGAATGCAAAGTTTACACGCACCTCGGAGAAGGACCTGAGAGCGGTATTCAGGGAGAGCACTGACATTTCCTATTCTGTTGATTTAAAGTGATTAGCTGCCAGTTTCGATTCAGGTCAGTTTAGTATCTCAAATATATTTGTCATGCTTTGGGTGGGTCTCCTGGGAATACATCATTTTGTTTTGAAGCATTTTTAGGTATTAATCTCTGCTTATCCAAATCACTCGGTAGAAATTACATTAAAATATCAGGAGAGGTTGTGTAGAGCTGTTCAGTCTCACTGCAGCAGCACGACTTAGTTAAAAGCTGGAGTGCCAGCCCCGAGCTGGCCAAACCGACTTCCTGAGGCCACAGTTGGTGGGAAGCAGAGGAGAGCAGGGAGCTGCCCCACGGGCACAGGGGGGCTGTCAGTCCCTCGGCAGCCCTTTGCCTGCATCTGCCCAGTGCGGGTGGCTGGTGGAGGGGAACCAGCCTGGTTTTGATTGAGCACAAAGCAGCTTCGTGCTCAGATTTCAGCTCCTGTGTTTTCCTTTTCATTTGCTATCTGTGTGTAGTCATTAAAAGCGCCTCTTCCCAGATGCTTTTAATGTTGGATCTGTTTCAAAACTTGCATTTCTGCGTGATTAGGCTTTTACCTTTCTTCCTTAGACCCGAGAGGGGATTATACTTTTCTTTTCAAGCCCCCAAGAGAGGAAGAAGTAGAAATGACGGTCTTTCATCCAGAGCCTGGTAGCTGGAGCCCTGGTTAAGAAGCAGGAGCTTTCCGTTCCTGTTCCTCCACAGCCCGCAGGACTTTACACCCTCTGCCCCCAGGAGTGCTCAGCACAGCTGGTGGAGGTTGCTCACCTTGGGGGTAATCTCTCTTCTCAAATAAACCCATCCCACCCCCTGCCAGCACAGGGGTGGTTCTTGATAGCACAAGCCGAGGGAGGATAGCACAAACATATCAAAGGGACTTTCACGTGTTCAAGTATCACTCGGCAAAAGGCACCGTTCCAAGCCCTGCTTCTGCTGGCATTGCCGAAGGGGTGGGCACTGGGGAAGGCTGCCCCTTTTACCCCAAAACTTGATCCCTGAAACCAGAGAAATTGATGGTTCTCTTTAATAAGTCCAAAATCTTGAACTTGAGCAAGAGAAGGTGAATGATAACTTTCTATCATAAATGATAACTGGATGTAGTTTGTCATTCTGCCAACTGCGGGAGACACACGGGACGTGCTGCAGGGACCCCCCCAGCTGGCGGGGAAGGGGGCTCAGCCTTGGTGCAGAGAGCCTGGCTGTGCCCCTACACAGCCTGTGCAGTCCCCTGGCAGACGCCCCGTGGCTCCTGAGCATTCTCTCCGAGACAGGCCTGACGTGGGTGATTATTTGAGTACAAGCCATCTGCCAGGTTGAGAAACACTAGCCAAACTAAAAGCTGAGCTGAGCTAACTCAGCACCAAAGCGAGAGCAAATATTCACTTGACTCAGTCAATAAGATGACTTTGTGGCTGATTTCTACACAGGTATGCAGATGTAATTGAACTTCAAGCTTGAAGTCAAAGCAGCAGCAGCTATGTCAGCCCTAGCTCACCAAAATCCTTTCCCCTGCATATTGTGGCAGAGTAGTTTCTGTTCAAAGAAAAGGGAATTCTTACACGTTTTGTCTCTGTGATCTTTTTTTCTCTGCCTATGACTTTGGATCCTTCCACCAATCTTTCCACTTGTTCTTTTGCTATTGCCTGTTTAATATGCAACAACACTGGCTATGAAAGCAATAAAACGGTGATCACTTTTGAAGAGTGAACCCACCAGTGTCGCTGATACGAATGCCGGTGCTCACGTTACTCCTCAGCGTGCAGCTTCCAAGGACCAGAGGTGCACCTTTCTGGGAGCACCAGCTCTTCATCACCTATTAAATTCAATTCCTGGAAATCAATGAAATCTTAATCTGATGTTATTAACCAGCGTCCCCTCCTCTGTACACTCTGTCGGTGACTGTGGACTCATTCTGTTGAATTTTTCCTGGACACTGGCCTTCTCCACCTAAATGGCTGGAGGAAGCTGTGGCCCAGGTTTCCCAGTCAGGAGGCATCATTGCACCAGGGCAGACACAGCAGCAATACCGTTGGCTGCTGTAAAAGTGCTGCTGTATTTTCTCATGACTGCAGGGTGCTAATTGCTCAGCGATGTGCAAATGAGAACATATTTGCACTCCATAAAATGCAGATGCTGTCTGGAGCAAATCTGAGTCTTCTTTGGGGTGGCCGTGGAAAAAGAGCAGATAACATACATGCACTGATAGGCACCACCGCTGTCCCTAAGGATGTTCTCCATGATTAGGATCAATTGATAAGGAAGAATTATTTTATATGAGGTTTAAAAGTAACAAGCATCTCTACTTCTGATGCTCTGCAAACCCAGAGGGACAACACCTTGTTTGCCATTACCTGGTTTTGTGATACAGAAAGACCTTGAGCTTTTTAAGACAGTGGTTTGGGAGATTATTTTTTTTTTTCCTCTGAATCTAAGTATTCTTTGTCTTTTTACTTCCCCACAACTACAGTTTCTCAAGGAAGAAGAGGTGCTGGACAAGGTGGAGATCTGGGCACAGAAGTACCTATACGCTCACCCTATCTGGTTCGGAAGCTTCTCAGCATTCCTGGTTGTCACTGATCCCGACTATGCCAAGGCTGTGTTGGCCAGGGGAGGTGAGAAAATGATGCCTTCAGCTGTGGAGCAACAACCATAGCGTGCAGATTTCCCATGCCAACCTAAAAATTCACAGCAAGGCAGGGTTTCGCAGAGAGGTTGTCTTGCAGAAATCATCTAAAGGCATGGAGAGCTACCCCTCCTTCATTCCATGCCCTCGGTGCTTCAGGCACAGGGCTGCGGGGGTGACAGGGGCCCCTCCAAATCTGGCAAAACAAACTTCCTCAAGTGCTCCTTGAAAAGTTATCTTCTCGGTGCCTGACCCCAGCAAGGAGAAGACAGCTGGAAGCTTTTTTCTCAGCTTAGACCCCTGGCTCTTACTGCAGAGTCGTATCTTTAGTGCATCAAGAGAGAAAGGTGCTAAACAGTGCTGGGAGGGTTAATCATTTATCACACAGACTTTGGACTACCAATATTCTTGTTTATTCCAGTCTGGGCATCTGCTTTTATACCTGTTTCTCGCAGCTGGGCCAAACAGTGTTGTTTTGTTGTGAAATACTGTTGAATTCTGCAGGGATGCCACCAATTCTGCTTCATACCCAACCAAAAGTGAGAGCCCAGAGGGAGCTTTAAGGTGCAAACCAGTAGATTGGTGCTAGTGAAACATTTACCATTTTCTTTTCTCTTTCTTGATGATTTTTTTTACAGATCCCAAGGATAACATCAGCTATAAACACCTTGTCCCATGGATCGGTATGTATTCCCAGGGCTTTGCCTACCAGTAATGATTCTGAAGTTAGTCAAGAACATGCTATAAATAAACAGCATTGTGCTTGTTCCTTGATGCATATATAGCTAAAAGCTTCCTGAAATTATTACGTTTATTGAAAAAGGTACTAAATAATGCTATTTTTTGTGATTCAAGGAAAGAAAGTTCAGATGTAGTCATACGTACAAATGAGAACCACTTACACGTTCATAGTTAGCAAAGGGCGGTGATGGGAGAAGCTCCGATTCAGTGGAGGGCCAGTGAAAAATGCATCTGCTGATCTGAACTTCTCAGCTCCAGCAGTGCTGGTGTTTCTTTTCGGAGGCAGTGCTGTGTGGTTTCAGTGAGCAGAGCTCATTGAGCAGGCTCTCGTAGCAGCTCAGACAGCAGATTTAATCATGCTCCTTGCAGACGGAGGCTGTGTCCGCAGGCAGGTGAAAGCAGCCTGCTTGTGCCCAGCAAAACATGCCTTGCCTGTGTTTCCCCAGGGAATGGGTTGCTGATCCTACATGGGCCAAAATGGCACCAACATCGAAAACTCCTGACACCGGGGTTTCATTACGACGTCTTGAAACCGTACGTGGCCCTGATGGCAGAGTCTACTAACGTGATGCTGGTAGGATTCATATCTGATGTGCCTCTCTCTGCCCTGTTTTCTTTTCCTGGATCCTGACTGGTTAGGACGTAAATGCTGGAGCAGGGTTTTCTTGCAGTGTCTTTACTCACAACCTGGTAAGTGTAAGGACAGGCTGGGGGGGGGGGGGGGGGGGAGCCACCACAAATCCCTGCCCGTGGGCTGGAAGGAACGAGCAGGTTGAGCCTGCCTGCGGGGACTATATCTCTGGTACTGCTTCGGGCTCTGTGGCTAAGATTTGAGGATTAGGATTAATGCCATCCCCAAACTGTGCATAATCTCAATCCCAACGCAACTGCAACTTCTGGCATTTTTGTAAATGAAAAACTGAAGTAAATAAAGGTTCGGTTCAAATCCCAAAAATACAAAGGTTGGAGCAGAGCCGTGGGCTGGAAGGAACGAGCAGGTTGAGCCTGCCTGTGGGGACTGTATCTCTGGTACTGCTTTGGGCTCTGTGGTTAAGATTTGAGGATTAATGTTACTGCCGTCCCCAAACTGTGCATAATCTCAATCCCAACGCAACTTCTTATAAGGCATTTTTGTAAATGAAAAACTGAAGTAAATAAAGGTTCATAATAAATCCCAAAAATACAAAGGTTGGAGCAGAGCTACACTGTGACCTAAGGTTAAAGGGTATCATTTGATGTCAACATACCCATGACTGGATTGCAATCCCTGCCTTGCCTAATACATGGTGAAATTGCACTGTTCTTCCATCCATCGGTGCTGGGCACGATGGAAACCAGTATGAATTACAGGTGAGGGGCACCAGGCTTTGTGCACGTGGACCGTCAGGAGTCTGGGTGCCAGATCTATTCCTTATCTTTTACCTCCCTCCATCCAACCTCCCCAGCAGCTCCACAGGGATCCTGGCTGTCCTCCATCCCACTGGCCCAGGGAAAAGCCAGGAGCTGGCGACTGGAGAGCCAGGAGAGCTTTTGCAATGCAGACAAGTGCCTGGCAGTTTATAATTCCTTGCAGACATTGCAAAGTGCCTATTGTGGGAGCCCGTGCCACCAGGTGGCAATCTTTGTATGTGCTAAGGACATAAGTATGTCCATATAAGCCCTGTTCCCCAGCCTGGTTTCATGCTGTGGGAGCTCAGATGTGACTGTGCTCCTCCATCTTCTCCCTTTCTCAGCTTTTGAGTCCACTGGTTCCTTACAGCCACGAAGGGACAGAGGATTCAACATCATTTCATGTCTGCCAGGCAAGAGAGAAACTATTTATAGTCTCTCTAGGGATCCCTTATGGGAAGAGTTGAGCAAGAGCTCCTATATTATATGCTGGAAAAACACAGTGGAAGAGAGATCGTGAGATGGAAGCTTGCATCTTAGACATTAAAGACACCAAAGTCATACGTGCTTGTAAGAGAGAGACAGAAAACACAGACTCAGTGAAGCTCAATGCCAACATATGCTGCTGCTCTTGTGTGGGAAACACACTGTACCCTAAGACTTTGGTAACGTGCCCCCTCACCCAGCAATGCGCCCATCCTGGGCTTCTCTGGGGTGCCTTTGCCCCAGGGTAGGGTGTACCAGGGCTCACTGCTGCCAGGATCTGAGAGTAGCAGCTGCCTGAGGCAAATCTTTTATTAACCATCCTGCTTTTGGCTTCTGGGATTTTGATGGCAACTAAGAGATCCTCTTCTGTTTCTCTGGGATGTATCCCTAGCTGAGCACTCATTTAACCAGAGGGTGACTGCAGATCATGCAGAACTGTCCCTTGCCTTCTCATTTCTGTCTCCTTTGCACCCTAGAATAAATGGGAGAAGCTGATCACAGATGGGAAACCGGTGGAGCTCTTTGAGCACGTCAGCTTGATGACTCTCGATAGCATCATGAAATGTGCCTTCAGTTGTCACAGCAACTGCCAGACCAACAGGTCAGTGCTGGCTGCCCCAAACCCTGGCAGAAAGTTTGCAACTCCGAAAGGAAGTGGGCAAATTGCTTGTCGTGATGGTCCCAAATTTACAAACTTCCGCCATTCTCCTCTCCCCAGGAAAAACACCTACATCCAGGCTGTCTATGACCTATGCCACATGGTGCATCAGCGCCTCCGCATCTTCCCCTACCACAACGACATCATTTACTGGCTCAGCCCCCACGGATATCGGTTCAGAAAGGTCTGCCAGCTCGCTCACGACCACACAGGTATTCCCTGCCTTCATCCTCTCCAAAGCTTTCAAGCAGGGTGGGTGATGGCTGACCAGAGGCAGTCGAGTTACCTCCTTGCCCATGCAGTGATCCTGTCCAGAGGCTCAGAGCCAGGATCCAAGCAGGGCATTGGCTTGCAGCAGTGGTCTGATCTAGGCATGAAGCAAGGGGGTCTCACAGCTCCTGGGTTATTAAACTGGACTAACGGAGGAATTCCCCTCTGGGAACGCTCCTGCTAAATGACCAGAGACTGGTGAGACAAGGAATGGGCACTGCAGGCAACACCAAAGCAAGGAATGACTGTCCTTTCCAGGCCAGGCGTGGTTTTAATGCAGGAGGGGTGGGTAAAATAGGCTGAGGAGTCTGTGGTGGACAAAGAAGTTTGCAGAAAAGGATGGTAATGTGCACAGCATTTGCTGCTGAAGAAGCCAAACTGCCTGGGATGCAGAAGCACCCGTCAAATGCATCATGAACTGAGGGGTGGTCACCCCCTTGGGTGAGCTTTGCATTGGCAGGACAATTCTGCAGCTCAGCATCTCCTGCACCTGCTAAACCTTTAACTGTTTCTTCCCCAGACAAGGTGATCCACGAGCGAAAGGAATCCCTTAAAGATGAACGGGAATTTGAAAAGATCCAGAAGAAGAGACATTTGGACTTCTTGGATATTCTGCTGTGTGCCAAAGTGAGTGGCAAGGAGTGACGTTGGTAGCCTCTGTTGGGGAATACAACACGCAGAAGGATTTCATAGTCTTGCTGGTTTAATATGGGGGGGATAAAGGGATTTATAAGCAAAGGAAAAGAGGCCCTGAATTCAGTCTAAACAGAGATTGATTTTGTTTATACGTATTCCAGGGGCATCACCACCCCCCTTTGCAATAGCTGAAAGAATATAATGTCCCCTCCTGGGTTATTATATTTTTTATATATATGGGCCACTGTAATAAATACATATATTTTTTATATATATATATATGGGCCACCGAAAGTGTCTCTGGGCTGTTAGGATGAGAACGGAGCTGGACTGTGCGATGAGGACCTGCGTGCCGAGGTGGACACGTTCATGTTTGAAGGCCACGATACGACGGCCAGCGGGATCTCCTGGCTATTGTACTGCCTGGCATCTCACCCCGAGCACCAGGCACGGTGCCGGGAGGAGATCCGAGGGATCCTGGGGGACCGGGAGAAGCTTCAGTGGTAAGGTTGCACGTTTCCTCAGCTGGTAACTTTTTTTCCCCATCACCGGTATTTCTAAGAGAGCAATGTTTTCAAGGCTTGAAAGCTGGAGTGCTAAAGGACTGATTTGTAAGGTTGCTGCGTGCATGGGGACTTCATAGGATGGAGCAGATACTGCATCCTTCAACTAAATCTGCCTCCCTGCCCTTCAGGGCTTCAGGGCTCCTATTACCAGGGCGGACATGAGAAAAAACCATCCCAGACCACGAGGACATGCTGGATGCCGTGCCAAGACCTGGGCCACCAACATTGCCCGTTGCTCTTTCCTGTTTTCTTGCCACAGGACATTGTAGTTGCGGCTTTTCGCCTTTCACTGTCACTTTGCACTTGAGCTTGTTCAGAGGTTGTTAAGGTTGTTCAGAGGTGTCTTGGGGTCCCCAGCTTGCAGCAGCCCGTGGTTGGATGTTGTGGGTCCCTCCGTACACCCCATCTGTTGCAAGGGGGTCTGCCCAGGGGGCTGATGGCTGTGGGGCAAGGGGCCTCCTGGCACAGGGCAGCAGAGGGAGTGTGTGGCTCAGCCTGCCTTTGTCCCGGTAGGGAGGACCTGGGTAAGATGACTTACAGCACCATGTGCATCAGGGAGAGCCTTCGCCTTTACCCACCGGTGCCCGGCGTGTCCCGGCAGCTCAACAAACCCATCACCTTCCCTGATGGACGCACCTTGCCAGAAGGTCTGTAAATCCCATTCCCCTTCACAAAATTGTGCTCTTGGACATCTCACTGCCTGCCACAGAGCAAAGGCAACAGCCCTGCCTCTGTGACCTTGTCCTCGTCGGCACAGGCGTTCAGATAGGACTGTGCAGATGTTGGCATCCCGTTGATAGACTGAGGTCTGGGCTGTACAGCGGCATCCCCGTGACATCCTTCCTGCCACCACTGCTATAGGGCAGATGTGCCTGTGCCCAAAGCCCCTTCTCTTCCTGGCCAAGCATGAGCCCATGGTTCACCCATTTTGGCAAACTGCAGGTGCAGGGGGATGGGGACTGGTCCCATCCTGACTTGCAGAGCGGGAATTGCCCCTGCTTTCCTTCTCTGATTTAGCACACAAGCGGGCAGTGTCAGTGGGGGGACAATGTGCCTGTGGTGCCTGCACCTTCCTCATTTCCACTGTTTGGCTGCTTACAACTAAACAAATGGAAAATGTTTTGTTTGCTCTGAAGCCAATGACAAAACCCTCATTGGTTTCCAGTTGACAGATAAGACCGTGATGATTTAGACAGACCTTCGTGTGAGCGGGCTGCAACTTCTCCTTTAGTTTCTTTGTCACTGAGCCCTTTTCTCCTCCTCAATTGCTTTACAGGCAGCATCGCTGCGATAAGCGTTTATCTCATTCACAGAAACCCTGCGGTATGGAAAGACCCTTTGGTACGTTTTCTTTTGCCCTTCTAATAATTTTTCCCCTTTATGCTGTGCCTCTTCAAATGCCCTCTTCACCTGTTAGCAGGAGAGCAGAGCCCCCCCTTGCTGCTGAGCATCTTTGGCCATGGGAATCACGGTGAGACATGACCGCCTTGTGTTAGTCTCAGCCAGCTGTGGCACAGGGTGGTCAGACAGCAGTGTTAGGGCTGGGTGCTGCCCAAACAGTAAGACAAAGTGCTCCAAAGAATGTGTTGTATTAACAGGCAAAAAGATGATTTTTTGCTCAGCCTACAGGTGGAGAATTGAGTCCCGGCTCCCCAGTTTTCATCATATCTATGTCTGGTTTGTCTTGGCAACACCATTGCAAGGCTCAGTGGAAGGCAAGGGTGTCTGGTGTATGAGTTGCAGTCCATCTCAAAATGAATTCTCTCTCCCATGGGGTGTTCAGAAATTATGGGGTGTCGCGTTTCTGAAGATACCGGTCAGTACTCTGTTCCTTAAATAATTGCTTTTTCTTGCTGCATATTCTTCATTTCCAGGTCTTTGACCCTTTGCGTTTTTCCCCGGAGAACATTTCTGGCAGACACTCTCACGCCTTTCTGCCTTTTTCTGCTGGAACAAGGTAAAGTGTATTGAATGCTGAAGGAGTAGTGGGGAGAGAAAACATCCATCCCTGGAAACTGCTCAGCCCAAGAAGCGTGTGCTGCTGTTATAATTGCTATCGGGGAAGCACTCTCAGAATGCTTTCAGAGACTGTCACCTGAAGTCCTGGCCCTGCAGCGTTAAATAGTTCATGAGCATATAACAAGCATTTGTGCCGCAGAGGGGTTCTGATACCAGCAGGCGAAACATGAAGGAAACATCACCGGGCTCCTCTTGGGGACAGGGAATGGGGTCCCAAAGCTGCTGAGTATCCTGCTGGCATCATGCGGGGAGCCTGCAGCAACCTGGGCTCACCTGCTCTCCTCTCCTTGATGCAGAGACCCCATCCCACCCCCTCATCCTTTGATTTCCCCCTTGTCCACTCCCCCCAATCCTTCCCTTCACCCTGTGCTCACCCCAACAAGGCAAACACGTTGCAAACCCTCATGCTTGGAGACCTGCCACCTCTGCTCTGCTGGCCTCCCCTTTGGCTTCCCCATTTCCCCTCCCTCTCTGTGCTCATTGAACACACATCCAGGAGCTCCTCTCCCCCGATGCTGCCCCGGATTTCCCCTGCTCAGCCCATGCCCCTGCTTTTGCCACCCGAAATGCTGCCTGGGGCCCCCAGAGCTGCAGAGGGGAAGGGTTGTGTGCTGATGTGAGAGGGCTGTGATCCATCCACTGGGGATTATCTGTGCCCAGCACTGAGACTGGGTGGCTGAGCTGCTCTGTTTTACCCCAGGAACTGCATCGGGCAGCAGTTTGCCATGAATGAGATGAAGGTGGCGCTGGCCCTGACCTTGCTCCGCTTCGAGCTCTCGCCCGATCCCACCAAGCCTCCCTGCAAAATACCTCAGATCATCCTTCGCTCCAAGAATGGGATTCACCTGCACGTAAAGAAAATCCGCTGATGCTGGAAAACATCCTGCCTCCGCCGGAGGGAGGGACCAAGCAGATGAGGGGACGATGTTTCCCTGGGGCAAAAGGTGCAGGGCAGGATTTGGGGATGAGGATTCCTGATTTATGTGCTTCTCCCACCAACTGAAAGCCTGTTTTGTCCTGGGCCCAGGTAGCCTGGATCTCGGAGCAGCCAGGCATGGCCATGCCTCTTTGCTGGCTTTCCCCTCGCCCCACTGCGGAGTCCAACTGAAGCTGCTGTGAGGGCTGTCTTCCCACTGCAAGGGGCCTGAGAACATCTGTAGGTCCCACCAGCTTCCTCCTTACCAAATCCTGCCTTCGCCCTCATGTTCTGGCCAAATCCATGACCGTTCCCAGCCCTGCTCCTTCGTCAGCACCTTCCTCAGTGCCTAGAGGTCAGCCCTCCTCTCCTGCAGCAGGGACAGCCCGTGGCAGACCTCTGTCTTTCTTCTCACACTCAATAAGTCTCTGTTTTGTTGAAAGCACTGATTCCAGTTTGGGTTCTGAAATTCTGCCTGAACTGCAAAATATTCTGTAATTTTTGTGTTAATAAACCAATAATTATTCCTGTAACAGCAGCTGCGTCAGTTTTTATTGCTGATTCTTGCCCACTTTGTCACAAATAAGGTGTAAAACCCCTTTAGAAATGGGAGATGGAGAGAAAACCCATGAGCAGCAAGAGACAACCCTGGGGGTGTCCAGCCGGGCCCCTGCCCACGGGTCTTCTGCCGCAGTCAATGCAGCATCTCCTTCCATGCGCAACCCCTTAACAGGGATCCAATGTGCAATCTTCATTTAAAGGTGCAAGGGAGGAGTTCTGAGAGTTAGAAAGGGTTTTTTTTCTCTTTTTTTTTTTATTTTCCTAAGCTGATAAAGTTATGAGAGTTGTATGCTTGAGGTACACCAGAGGACACTAGTGAGCTCTCCTCTGCCTCTGCAGGAATCATTATCAGGGTAGAAAGTGTCAAATTGGGAAATCCCAAATGCTGCTGTTGCAATTAGCGTCACGGTGACGTCAACTGCAGTTCCAGCATCGTGAGCAGGCTGCTGTGCAGTAGGACAGCGTCTGACTTCATACAGCTCTTATCTGCAGGGATAAGGCGGATGGAAAGCAGCAGGGGAAACAGGAGGACCTTTTTGTGGGATACGCTGTGCTACACTACCAACACCATGAGCCCAATCACTGGTGAGCCCCATTAACAGAAGGCTATATCAAACATAAGGTTTTGTCCAATTTTAATTTTAAATACATGAAGGGTGCCCATAATAAATAATAGAGATAATACAAATAACTTGTGTCATCTCTCACTCTAAGCATATTATCAACCCACTGCAAATGTCACACCTCAGAACAGCTGTAATTGAGAAGCTGCAAAAACCAGGCCAGTATATTGTGCAAATAGGGTTGCCCATGCACCTCCTCTGCCACATCACCCGTATCTCCTCTAACCACAGCTCTATCCACAGCTACCGCCAAGCCCCCCACAAACCCCTCCTGTGTCCTCTCCACTTACCTCTGTGCCAGCACATCCAGCCACCATCGATAAAACCTGCCTGCCGTGGGGTACTTGCTTAGCCAAGCAGCCTCGAGAAGACACATCCATCAGCCAGCTTCACCTCCGATCTCCATACCTCATGGTGCTCCAGGCACCCAAGCCACAAATGAATCCCTCCTGTGAGCAAAACCTCCAGGTTGCCTGAAGCCACCACTATGATTCAATAATATCCCATTTCAGAAGAAATAGTAAAATAAAGAAATCACCTGCGTGCATGGGTAACATTAAGGACACAACTGCATCATCCAGCTTCACCCTGAATTCAGTTACAACTTTGTTAAGCCTGAGTACACAAAAAAATACCAAAAGATTCCCACCCTGCCGTGGATTTGCATCCATAGCTTGCGAGGAGAAAATCTTTGGTCACTCCATATCCTGGAATAAGTTAAATGAAAGCAATGATTTATCTCCTCCTGATGAGGCTCTGGTCCAGGAGGAAAGCATTAAATGCACCTGGCTCAAAGCTGCTCAGTCACAGCCTCTAGTGATACGGCAAGTAATAAGCTGATAAAAGCCAGTTTCTTCAGTTATGTTCAATCATATTTCAAGGTCACTGGGTAAAAGCTCATTGGGTAAAAGCTGCAAACTCACCTCACCTCAGTTACTAAACTAGGGCTGTTCCAGCTACAGCAGCTGAGGAGCTACGTATCTGGGGTGATGCCAATATTCCCATGCAAACCCACAGTCGCCGTTGTACGTTGAACAGACCCAGTGTGGTGGAGCTCAGCACAGCAGAGGCATGCAGAGACCCGTCACAGCGACAGCAGGAGTGCTGTGCATGAAGCACGAACGGAAATGGCTGTGTATGAAAGCACTAGAAGGAATAATATAAAGCAAAGATTGCAGAAATGGCCTGTGTCAATGACCAAGGACACAAGTGACAGCAGTAAAACTGGTGAATGCTGAGGAAAGCATTGTTTACATCAAGGCAGGTGGCCCCCATGCCAAGAAGGCCACTGTGCAGACGACTCACCAGCAGAAGACCTGTGCTCTGATGGTAGGAGGATGGAGCAAGGTTGCACCACCTTCTACCTGCTATTCCTCTCCTGGACTTTAAGGGATTGTAACCCCTTAATTTACCATTTCAAGTGAGAACTGAGCCAGAGATTGCCACCTGGTGAGCTGAGACAGTACAGACCCTCCAGGAAAGACAAGATGCCAGTCAAGCCCCTTTCCTCTCTTCTCCTGTGCTGAGACCTGAAACAGTTTGTGATCAGACCACCACAGCCAGAGACTGAATGAACAAAACTGGCCACAAATGGAGCCGATCCTGGACTGTGACCCACCAGAAACTCCTTTGCTCCTTATGCCCATGGAAAATGTACCCATGGGAGCTATTTTGCAGGGCCATGGAAATGCACAGACATCTCACCAGTGGGAACAGGGACAAATTACAAATGCAATTTAAAATTCACAGTTAGAGTTTGCAAAGGACAAAAGATTTAAAGCTAAAGAAAGGCTTAGTGGCACCAGATATCTGGATTCAGCGCCTAAGTTTGATGTGCAGGACCGTGCAGAGCGTAAGCCAACTAGATGAAAGGACAACCTTCACTGTTATCATCACCTTGTGAAAGCAGCCGGGAGAGCATCTGCTGGACCAGGCAGTTCGTGCATCCTCAGTGCCAGGACCCGTTGGCAGTGCTGGAAGCATCCCCCAGCCTCATCCCTCCTGCAAGCACCTTCACGAGTCCGTCCTGCTTATTGAGAGCACTACGTGTGCCTGGAAAGCGTTTGCAGGAAGACCTACTATTTTTTAGGCAAAAGACTTGAAAATCTGTGATTTTGAATTGATAATTAAAAAAAAAAAAAAAAAAAAAAAAAAAAAAAAAAAAAAAAAAAAAAAAAAAAAAAAAAAAAAAAAAAAAAAAAAAAAAAAAAAAAAAAAAAAAAAAAAAAAAAAAAAAAAAAAAAAAAAAAAAAAAAAAAAAAAAAAAAAAAAAAAAAAAAAAAAAAAAAAAAAAAAAAAAAAAAAAAAAAAAAAAAAAAAAAAAAAAAAAAAAAAAAATAAAGCTTACAGCAACTTCTCATGGAAGACCATGAATGGAGCTTAGGAAAGTGGGGAGCTCAGGGGCCAGCCTGAGCCATCGGGGTTACCCCAGTTCCCTTAGCTGGTCTAGGTGGGTTAGCAGGGATTTTAGAGTATGGCAAATTATTTTATATGCCATACTTACGCCAAAAAAGCACATGAAAGAAACAAGCATCAGGCCAGACTTCAGTCTAACCCAATTGTTATTTTCTGGACTCAAAAGCAGAAGAGATTCAAAATGCCATTTCAAACTTCTCATTCCTTTGAAAACCAGCACTTTTCAGAGGTAAAGTCTCCCAGGAAGAAAAATATTTACTAAATTAAAAATCAGAAACTTGTTGAACCCAACATTATAATCTGAATGACGATGCTACTCCCTTCCTTTGTAATGAATTCCACCAAAAGAACAAATCTGAACTTATAATGAGAAAGATATATTTTGAAACCATGTTTAAGCTTGTGCATAAAGGCAGTCCTTGTCAAATGGCAGCTCAATCAGCACTCAGTCTTAGCAGTTGCTCTCACTTATATACATAAGGATCAGGACTCTAGAGAGTAAAATGAAAATAAGATTTCTCAGTAAATGTGCTTTTCCATGTGCTTTTTCATCTCTATTTCCTGCCCTTTGGCAATGTTGGCTTTCCACCTATGCCAGGAAAACTGAATCCCAGTTAAACTTATTTTCACTTCCAAGTTAATCCAATTTATTTTGTCCTGAGCCAGCTCCTCTCAAAAAAGCGGGAACATCGGCATGATGGTACGGCACCCGCTTTGCAGGGGATGCTCACTGCAGCTGCAGCCGCTGCTCTGGGGCAGCCCGGGTGAACGCCCGCACTCTCCAGCTGCCTGCCCCCTCTTCGGATGTGAGGTGCAGCTCTTGAGTTGAAATCAGAGATATCCTGGCAATGGAGAAAGACAGATAATGCTTATTAAAATGTAAAATGTTATAAAACTATGAAGAAGCACTTTGGAGGGTGGTATTAGGATTCAAAATTATCTTGATAAATTGAAAAAGTGCTCAAGTGAATAGGATGTGAGTCCGTAAGCACAGGCACAAAGCACAAGAGCCAATGGCACAGCCATGGCACAAAACCAAGAGGGGAAATGAGTGATAGGCAGCAATCTCTCCAAAAGGTATTTTATAGATATAGATGCTCACAAAGGTAATGCGAATCAATAATATCCTGCTGTTGTAATCAAAGCAAACATCATACTTGGATACATAACGACAAATATTTCTCAAAAATTTTTCACTTGCATCTCCTTTCACTAGATGAAATGAGACAGTGTCCTTCAACCCTGTTTGGAGATTTAATTATAAAAGCAACTGCATTTACTCCAAAATGTACCTTGCCTACATATTCTAAAGTGTAAAATGAGAAAATTTTTAATCAAAATAGCTGAAGTCACTAGAAGTAAATGACATGCATCTCTGTATTGGATTCAATTTTCTTTTAAAGATAAGATTTGAAAAAAGTACCATCTAAAAAGGAGTGGATGAACCTTGGCATGCAAATGTGAAAGATTAAGGCAAGAACATCTGATGAGCAAGAGCACAAGGCTGAAATCATGATGTCCCCACTGAAAAGGAGCAGGTAAAAGGGGATCAAACTAGGGGAACTTGGCATAACAGTCCTCATGTAAATAAATGGCAGCTGCTAAATTGCGTTTAGGTAGATAGAGATTACATAGCATAAAGTACTCTCTAAGGTTTCTTAAGCCCTGACGTAGGTTGCCTGGGGAATCTGCATTTTCAGAGGTTTTAAGAGCAGATCACCATTTTTTCTGCATAATCCAAAAGCCCAAAGAAGGCAATGAATGTGGTGTAAGGCTACAGCAGGGTACCTCTGCTCTGGTTTTTGGGAGCGGACTGAATCAGGGGTGGAGGAAAGGCTGCACTGCTGCTTTCCCAGCTGGATCGTCAAACATGTGAATGTTCCTGGCCCTGGGATGGAAAAGCCAGGCTGCTCCTGCCTTCAC